TCCCCATTTTTCGATCTTTTTCGTCGCGCTGTGATGACATCACATACGCGCTTTCGTCGACCGCGATTTTGTCGTCCGCGGTTTTGTGGTGGAACCCACCCAAAGCGCCACACCAGGAGGCTGAAGTGGACCCAAAGTTGGAATTTCTGCCTCCCTCTGACCCACACAAAAAGACCCCTAAATGGGGAGACTCTCTGCAGCATCACAAGCGTTCATTGCACATATCCAGCCCAGGGGCCGTAGTTTGAGGATCCCTGATTTAGTGCAATATAAAAAATGCAAATAATTTTTCTGTACCATCGCCAAAGTTTTCTCACGGACTACCAGTGGTCCGTGGACAACCAGTTGGTGACCGCTGCTTTAAACCACTAAACCAAACCAGCTCTCGTTCTTCACTTACCTATCGTCGTTCCGAAACACAGCCCAGGTAATGGACAGCGCTACGCAAAACAGCAAGAGGAAAACCAGTCTTACTTCAAGAGCCTGATTCCAGCACGGAAACCTAAAACAACACAGTTAACAACAACCCATCAGCATTGCAAATACAGGATGCAGGGTACATTTTCCAGTAACAATTTCAGTATCACCTTCAGCAAATTTCACGTGGGTTTCCCCCCACCCCCGCTTCTATCTAAGATATAAGTTGAAAGGAAGCAAAGAATATCAGTATATACTCGCTTCAACGGTAAGATGGCGGGCGTATAAATTTAATAAATGAAAATGAAGGGACCGGCTCTGCATTGCGTGATCACAGGGAACATGTCACTATTTCCTTGTCATTATGGATATGGAGATTTCCCAGGCATCCATTTAGCATCCATGCTGATTTTATTATATATAAGGTTTAAAAAAAACAAACACTGTCTGCTCTCTCAGGTCTTGTGGTAGGGAGGTTACAGAGCCTTGAATGGGCTGCTTGTTGCTTTATTTGCCTGGACAATTTTTCATTATTGTTTCCTCATGTTAAGGGTGAGCTGTCCAAATAAATTCTGGAATCATGTGACTTCTATATCTACTAAGCAAATAAATAAATACCTGCAGACACCTGTGATCCACAGGCTGCTCCTTGATTAATTCTGAGTCATTCTTTTCATGTCTTTTTATAAACCAATACTTAGCAATAGCAGTTAGACTTATATACCGCTTCATAGGGCTTTCAGCCCTCTCTAAGCGGTTTACAGAGTCAGCATATCGCCCCCAACGCCCCCAACAACAATCCGGGTCCTCATTTTACCCACCTCGGAAGGATGGAAGGCTGAGTCAACCT